TAATTCTTTGAGAACTGAAACAAAGTATGAATTAAAAAATTCCGAAATTTTAATGGGGTTGTATATCATGGAGTTGTTAAAATATAAGCAGGAAGGATATGAGTCAACTCTCGAACTAATGCTTAAAAGATTCCTAATACCATTCCATGTAGATTTCAAATTTTTGGCATTATCAGAGAAGAACTTTGAGTAACGGTTCTTTTTACTATGACAGGTGAGAGTAACAAGTAAGTTTCTATATGTTTTATAAGATTTTTTCTAGATTGGGTTTGTTATTAGGATTCTTTTCTTTAAGAAATATATTAAATATTTTATTTCGTATTTTAATTGAGGTCAAGATTCCTCATGTCATCCAAATGTTGAGACCCCTTGATAAGCAGCGATTGCTGACTTTTTTTAATGGTGAATGTTTATCTAAAAGAGAATTAAAATTTGTGAAAAAATCTTTAAATGACTTATTAGTCTTACCTTCATTGACAACGATTACATTAGTCCAGCTAATTTTTGAAAAATCACTACATATATTTACAATTAATAGGGTTTTCTTCGAGATTTATGTCATTGTCATTTTTGTTATTAAGTTGATGGGAAATGAAATCATTAAGTTCATTATAATGATTAGACTCTATGGTGTTTGTAAAAGATGATATGTTGTTTGAGAGTTCATTAAAATGAATCACTTTATCATTTATTTTTGCAGACACAGCTCCTTATCAGATAAAGAACTAAACGGAAAAACATATTTCCTACATGAAATACAGAACCAAGTTGTTTCAGAGTTTTTCAATATCCTAAATTCCGCATCATTCATACCGCAGCATTTTTTATCAAAAAAGTTTAGGCAATGATACATTGAAGGTAGTGATGGTTTTTATTAATTTTCTTCAAACAATCTTTGTAGTGAGTAGACATTTAAGTAGTACAGTTTATAAAATAAAATGATTAAAGTGAAATAAGGAAACAAACAGTAATATGAACTTCAATATAACCAAAAATAATAAAAATAATAATAGTATTTATTAATAATATAATTTTAATTCAATTAATAAAATATTGAAATAAAAATAATATTTATTTAACAATTTAAATAAATAATGAAAAAAATGCTATTAATAAAGTTAGGGAAGAATAACGTAAATATAAATTAAAAATAAGTTATAGTTAATTAAATTATAAGTTATAAGTATAAAATCAAATAAATTAAATTCAAATAATAAAAAATTATGAAGGAATATAAGTAAAATATTCTAGTTATAATAAGTGAAAATTTATAATAATAAACCATAAAGTTTATACTTAGTATTATAAGTTAAACTAAAAGTAATTAAGTTAACAAACTAAATAGATATATAATAATAAAAATAATAACAATAATAATAATAACAATAATAACAAGTATATATAATAATAAACAATGAAAGAAAAAAAGAAAAAATAAACAAAACTAAGTTAGAAAAAAATAAATAAAATAAACATTGAAAGAAAAAAAGAAAAAATAAACAAAACAAAGATAGAAAAAATAAATAATTACATTAAATTAAAAGCATATTTTAAAATAAACAAACTAAATTCTTCTAAAATTTCACTTCAATCTACTATTTTTTTATTCTTTTTTCTTAGTTTACTTAATTCTTCCATTTTCTTTTTACTTTTTATTTTATTTGTTTACTTCACTTTCGACTTTCGATTATTTATTATTTTTTTTTGTTTTTTTTAAAGTTGAAATAAGTGTTCCTTTTTTTTTTTTTTTAAAGTTTTTTTACCTTCCTTTTTTTTTTGTATGACTTTTTATGTGCGTTTGTTCAAAGATGATTTTAAGATTGTTAACAAATTATTTATACATATAAAATAATTATTTACTTCTTATTATAATTTAGTTTAATCTTTAATCTTTATAGTTTATCTTTAATCTTTATATTTGCGAAGACCTACCACTGAATGGATAAATATATTATATATATATATATATATATATATATATATATATATATATATATATATATATATATATATATATTGATAAATGTTGTATACTGCTGGAAATACAACTCTTGCCTGTTTAAGAGTGAACAATATCTTTTTTTAAAAAAAATAGATCAAATTATATTAAAATAATTAAAATGCAAAAAAAATACAACTTTATGATGAAACTAAAAGTTTCATGCCATTTGGCAATCATCAGTTACTAATTTTTATTGTGTTTCTGTTGAATATTTTGTGGAGCTTATGATGTAATGGAAAATGCAAGTCAATTAAGTTTAAGAAAAGATGTCCAATTTTTGTTATCACATTTTTACTGTAAGGAGGGTTAAACCATATAATATTTCTTTTTCGTTTATTAGTAATAGAAGAATTTAGATTTGAATGATATTGGAGAATGGTGTGAAATCCAGACTTTTCTAATGCGTCATTATAAATTGGAGCAGTCTTTTGGAATATTTTTTCGCTTGAAGAATTAGAAGATAACCTATGTCCAATTGAGATTGGTAATTGTTTTAAAATGCTTGATGGATGGTTGGAATTAGCATGGATATAATTTAACGTACTATCAGGTTTATAGTAAGGTTGAAAAGTGTTGTTATTGAGATTAAATGTAACATCAAGGTAATTAACAATTTTTATATTAGATTGAATGGAAATACTGAGGTTGTTTTGTTGAAATATTTGAGTAAAATGCTTCTTAATTTTTTTCATTTTTGGACCGCTTGCGTTTTTAAATACAGCTAAGCCATTGTCTCTATATAATCCAAAATCAGTTTTATTATAAAATTGCAAAATTTGGAAAAGAAGAAAAATACCAACTAATTCACACACCTCCGCTCCATCAAATGCACCCATGGTAATATCAAACAACCACCTGATTTTTTAATCCAAACTTGGTCATTGGTAAATAATAAAGATTTACGAGCGTGGAGAATTAAAGATTTATGATCAGCATCAATGGAAATGTATTGTTCTGCAAATTTTATAGAATCAATAAGTAGCTTTTCATTAATAGAAGGATAAAAGTCAACGATGTCGAAAATAAGAAATTTATAAAAATGTTTGTCATTGATGTTTTTGAACCAATTTATTACATTTTTTGTACTATTCAACTTATTTAATCGCAAAATATTTCTAAGGTTGGTGTTAATACCTGATAAAATATGCTTACTTTACCAACCTCATTCTTAGCTGGGTTAATTAGACGAACAGTAGGATTATTTAAAAAATTAGGTTTATGGTCTTTTAATGTAATGAAACAATTGAAAGAACTGTTTATATTGATTTTGTTAAAAATTTCATGATTTTTAAGAATAGTTTTTCCTTCTTTATTAATGCGATCTTTTATTATAGGGTTGGTTTTTTTATAATTAGATATAGTGGCGTTCATTAATAACTTATTGTATTCGTCTTTTGATAATTTATATAAGTTTGATGTTTTTGTCAGTGTGAGTGTAAGTATACGTTGATTTTCGAATAGTAGAAATGTCTTTTTTTAATTTATTTTGGAAGCTACATTGAACAATCCTAAACTGTATGTTATTAATTAATTTGAATAAATCGCATTCAAATGCACGCATATCTTTAATCTGTTGTGGACATTGCAGTGTGTTAATGCCATAAGAACTAAAACTGGTATTATTATTACTATTATTATTAATATTATTCATACTGATAAACTGGTTATTCATGAAGAAAAATGCCTTCCATCTTATTCTTTTAATTAGTATCTCGGTTTTTTCAAGCAATCGCAATTTGTATTCTCTATTTGATGGTATAGGTATATTTTTTATTGAATAATTGAAGTTAATTTTCTCCATTTGTAACCACTTGAGAAGAGTGCTCAACAGGAAGAGCGATAAATTTATTGATAAATGTTGTATATTGGTTTCTGCTTATAGGCATAGGAAAAAAAATTTTACTATTTAACTTTGATTCCGGCAATTAGCAAATATCGGATCACGTAGAATTGACGTCAGATGCCGTTGCAACGCTAAATTTGTATTTTTTATAATGGTTTTTATTTTTTATTTAAATAATATGGCTGATAATTGCCGAATGGCATGAAACTTTTAGTCCCATCATAAAGTTGTATTTTTTTCATTTAAATTATTTTAATATATATATATATATATATATATATATATATATATATATATATATATATATATATATATATATATATATATATATATATATATATATTTTTTTTTTGAAAAATTCTTTGAATTCTATGAAAAATATTATGCAATAATTAAAAATTTTTTTTTAGCTAAATTATGAAAAATTCATTGAAGTTAAATATTTTGTACATGCACGTGCAATACCGAGAAGTTTTACTATTGGAGTTACAGTCGTGATTTTGTTTAGCAACTCTGACTCCACAGCCCTGATTACAATGCCTAAAAGTTCAAATCTAAAGTTTAAAATGTTATCATTGAACATTATAAGTTTAAGAACAGATTTTATGGAAGTGTTAGCTAGTAGTCAAAATAAAATTTTATGACGCCGGTTCATTTTTTTTTTTTTTTAATGAACTTACATCTTATACTTACTTTTTACTCTTACATCTAGAGATACATATGTATTAAGTCTAAAAACTGTTTTTCATTTTTCATTTTTTTATGCATTATTGATAAGTAACACTGGTTAGTATTGAAAAACTAATTACTAGAATAAATATTAGTAATATTTTATATATATGTATATATATGTATATATATATATATATATATATATATATATATATATATATATATATATATATATATATATATATATATATATATATATGTATATATATATATATATATATATATATATATATATATATATATATATATATATATATATATATATATATATATATATATATATATATATATATATATATATATATATATATATATATGATAATTTTTATATATTATTTTAATATTGAATTATGAACTAAATACCTTAATATATATTTTATAAATATCTTTATTACTATCAAAGTTAATTTTTTATTTTCTTAGAAATGGATCAACAAAGAAAGAGTTTTAGTATTTTGTCAGAGAGGAATTAATTTCAGGTATGTAATTATTACTTAGAAGTATTTTGTTTCTTTTTCAGTAGTTTTTAATTAGTTTTTTTTATATTTTTATTTCTTCAGAATTAACTGTTTGGTATTTTTAAATTTATTTTATAGAACAAAAAACAAATCATAAAATTGTAGATTTATAAATGTTATAATTAAAAAATTATATATATCGGCAATTTTTTTATTTGTTGAAGTTACCTATATAATTTTTTTCTACATAGAAATCAATATATATATATATATATATATATATATATATATATATATATATATATATATATATATATATATATATATATATATATATATATATTAAAGTTTGTTATTGGTGCCAGAGTTTTTTTAACTTGTCAAGAAAAATCTTGATGGTTCGTTAAGGACTCTACAGTTTTTTTTTATCAAGTCATTTTTATAAGCAATGATATCTTCTAAATCTTTTGATGGACTTTTAATGAACTATAGACCTTTTTGTAAATGAGCAGCAATTATGAATCACGTGACCTAATGTTTTTCTTGTTAGGGCAAAATTATAAACAAACTTGACAATACGCTTTCTATTGACAATATCTTTTTATTGTTTGTTTAATATCTAAAAGTAGTTTATCTGGAAATATATCATTGAAAATTGTATTTTAACATGCCAATTGAAAAATGCAAAGATTTTTTGAATTTATCTGCCAAACAGCTTGTTAGTTTTTTTACTGTTTGTGGGCTAAGTACTACTGGACGCAAAGTTAAGCTTGTTGCTAGAGCATTTACTGCAATGAAATTAAATATAGATGTTATAAAGAGAGCAGAAGAACAGGAAAGAAAACTTCTAATTGACCCAAACTCTGTTCCAATGAAAAATAGAAAAGACTTAGTATCTTGGTGGCCTAGTATAACAATGGGAAATATGTTTTCATATATTCTTAATAAAAAATATTTTGATTCAGAATATATTCAAGTGTAAGGGCCAAAAAGCATTTTCATTTTTCGATAGTTGTTTTGTAGGCCCTATAATGCACTTCAGGTTTAAAAAAAATGTTTTATTTGCAAATTCTGAAGTGTGTGGTTTGCAAAAAATTCACGAAAAAAGAAAGTTTTGGGTTGCCTTTTATAATAATGATATTCTTTCTGCTTGTTGTTCGTGTATGGCTGGAGCTTTTGAAGTTTGCAATCATGTCATTACCACCCTTTATAAAATGTAATATGCTAATAACAAAAGTTGGTGTAATTTAACATGCACAGAACAAGTGTGTGTCTGGAATAAGTCTTCTAGAAAAGATATAAAATTGTGCTTAATAACTGACCTAGTTGTTCAAAAAAAAATTTCAAATAATGAAAAAAATGATAATAATGAGGAAGACGCAAGGATGAAAGCATTGCAAGAATTCAATCCAAGAATCGAAAGTCATTTTGAATTTAATGAACATTCATTTAAAACTTTTTTAAACAACATTCATATATCCGAGGCTTCTGTAATATTTAAATCAAAAATTAAAAAATCTGAGGAAAATATTGTAAATAATCCTGATCTTGAAGAACTATCGTTTGAAATACTTTTAGACCACCCTAACCCTGATAAATCAACATTAGGTAAAATATTTTTTGAAAAAATGGTTTTAACACATGAAACAAATAAAAACGTGGAGTATAACACAAGACATCAAGCTAAAAGCAATACCTGGTTTCAAATGAGAAAAGGGAGGATAACTGCATGCAAACATCAGTTTTAATACTCTTTCTAGAAATTCAAGTTCTAAGAAGCTGAAACTAACTCCTCTTGTTGCTGAGATTTTATACCCTCATAAAAAAATTTCTTACTGCTTCTATCAAATGGGGAATTAATCATGAGCAAGATGCTATAAAAAGTATTTTAATAAAGATTTAAAAGATTTAAGTATCTTAATAAAGAATTAATCAAAGTAATTAATAGCAAAATCGCAAATGTTTCAAACAAAACCGTTTATGTTCAAGAAAATTTGGACGAAGCAAAAAACTTACGTCACGAGCTAAAAAAAAGTGGTCTCTTGATTTTGTATGATAGACCGTTGCTTGTTCCCCAGATGGATTTATCGTATGCAAATGTCATGGTAGATTGTGTTTAGAAGTTAAATGTCCTTTTAAAATCATAAATAAAACAATCAAAGACATATATATATATATATATATATATATATATATATATATATATATATATATATATATATATATATATATATATATATATATATATATATATATATATATATATATATATATATTTATATATGTATATGTGTCCACTCTTCAAATATATATATACATATATATATATATATACATATATATATATATATATACATATATATATATATATATATATATATATATATATATATATATATATATATATATATATATATTTATATATGTATATGTGTCCACTCTTCAAATATATATATATATATATATATATATATATATATATATATATATATATATATATATATATATATACATTATATATATATATATATATATATATATATATATATATATATATATATATTTATATATGTATATGTGTCCACTCTTCAAATATATATATATATATATATATATATATATATATATATATATATATATATATATATATATATATATAATCTTTTTCTATTTTATTGAGGTAAAGGTATAAATAAAATATTCTTTACTAAATTTTTTTTTGACATACTTTATTTGTATTTATTTTTGTAAATGTATATCATTTTTAAAATAATACATCCAATAATAAACATGTAAACAATATTGTTTACATGTTTATTATTGGTTTGTTTACATTTTTGCCCTCCCGAGAAAAACATTGCATCGCGTGGTTCATAATAGCTGCTTAATTATGAAATGTTCTATTGATTTATATTGATTCTCATATGCATCTAAACCTTTTTCTTTGGTTTTAAGTTCTGCATTTTAATAGGTGGTTATTAAATATTTAGGCTTAAATGGTGAAGTATTTATTTTGTTGTATGATTAAAATGATGTAAGAAAAATGCAACCTTATTTGGTGCGCCAATTTGTGAACTTTCAATTCAATTTTTTTTTTCCTTTGTCACAGTTTTAGCAACTTTGTTCCTTTGAACTTAAATCTATTTTCACAAGGATTTTTAATTATTTTTATCAATGAAATTATTCATAATTGAATAAATAAATTAAATGCACTTATAAATAATATATGCACGTTCCATTTTAAAACTTATTATAGTTTAAATATATTAAAAAAATCTTTTTAAAAGCAACATTTTAAAAATATTAGAAATTTATTAGAAAGTAAAAATTTATTAGAAAGTAAAAAAAAAAACTATTTCATGGGACCCAAGGACTTTGTGTATGTACACGACCTGAAATATCCAAGTCAATAAGTGAAAATGTTGGGGGCTAATAGGAACGAGTTATACTTAGTTGCCCAACATTTTCAGTGGATATTTCAGGTTGTGTACATTCACAAAGACTTTGGTCCCATGAAATAGTTTATTTTTCACTTTTTTGTCCATTTTTCAAATGTTACTTAAAAAAAAAAAAATTTTATATATATTTTTTTTATTATTCAACAGCAATTCTGTTTATTTACACTGAACTAAAACGCTAAAAATTTGTAGTTTATTGTTTGTTTTAATTACTTTTCATAACTATTTCTTTTATTTGGGCTAAACTAAAGTCTGTTTTGCGTTGTTTGTTATAATTTCACATTTTTTAACAGTTTCTTTTATTATTACTGCTGACCTAAAATCAGCTTTGTTGATCTTGACACTTGAAATGATAAACGCTGGTAGCGTCTTTTTGTGTGCAGAGATCTTAGCCAAAACCATCATAGAGAAGCAATTTGGCCAGGATGCTATAGTTTTGTTTGTTGAAAAGTTGCTTAATAATGAAGAGGAACTAATTGATTGTTTCTACTTTTAGGTCAGATTTCAGCGAATCAGTAAAGCGGTTATATTTTATAGAATCTTATTGAAGATGTTGAGAATTCTGTACCAATTTAAAAAATATATAAAAATTTTCCAGAGGTGAACGGAAAAGGAAAATTAACTGTTTTTTTATGATACTATGTATTTAACTTATGTTACCGAGAAATTATTATCGGGGATTTTTATATCTATTATTAATAGTTAGAGTTACGTAACAGATTACGGCTTTATTAACACTTTAGTCATTTAAATAAGAAAATCTTTGGTTTGTTGAAGTACTTACTTACACTTCTAACATTTATGCTTAGTGCCTTTTTAATACTCAACTATTTAACAAGTGCTTAGTTAAATTTGATTTTTCTGCTTGATATGGCATTTGTGGTCAACTTAGTTTTAACTGTGGTTGTGTGTTCCAATTCTGAAGATTGCTCTGTTGCTAAATCTGACTTCTTAGTTTTATTAGCCAATTTTTTGCGTCTTTAGCAAACTTCTAAAATCTCATCTAACAATTTATTGTTAATATAACAAATGCTAAATCTGACTTCTTAGTTTTATTAGCCAATTTTTTGGAGTCTTTAGCAAACTTCTAAAATTTCATCTAACAATTATTGTTAGATGAAATTTTATATTAACAATTTATTGTTAATATAAAAAATTTATTTTTGAAGATACAGATTTTGATCCTCAATTTTGATGTTCTTCTGACTTGTTACCTGTTATAATAGAAAGCTCAGAAATACCTGTTATAATAGAGCTCACCAGAATATGAAAAGAGCTTTTGCTCTTTCTTTGCTTTTGGAAACCTTGCTCTTGCTGCTTCCATCAATATGTAAAAAAAGCATTAAGTTTTGTCACACTAAAAAAATTAAAAGTGCCACAAAACTCAACCTCCAGAACTTCTTTATGACTCAACATTATCACAAGATTTTTTTTTTTAATTAATTAGTTGTTTTTTTATTATTATTTTATCATTGGTTGCTTTTTTAATTTAGTGTTCTCATAATTATCTTAGGATTTGCATATTTCATTATCATGTGAGAGTAGAATTAAATAATTTTTAAAATTTTTTCATTTAAGATTAATATATTTAAATACAGTTCAAAATTCTCTACAACTAAAAGCTACTAAAAAAAAAAAATTATTAATAAAGTATATAATAAATCTTATTATAGTCCCTAATCGACCAGTTAGGTCAGCATTCATGCTGACCTAACTGCCGACCTAGAAGTGTTTGAGATTGGCAAAATATTGCTGACCTGATGCCAACCTGCAGCAGCAATAAAAAAATACTGGGTATGAGTTCTATCATATGTTATTAATCAATAAATTCATCTTATGTTACCTATAATCAAATTTTTTCTAATGTTTGTTAGCAATGAATATGTAATAATAATAAGGCTTTTTAACAAAGTTTTAAAAAAAAATTTAATATTAAGTGTTTAACAAAGTTTGTCAATATAAAACTAAAGTATTTAAATATTTCAGGGCTCGACATTTAATGCTTGATCTGCGCACTCTAATGCCACATTCAAGAGCAGGTTACTGTTTTTTTTTTGTATTTTATCTTATATGTGTGATTATAACACTTTTGTGTATAAAATTTATAACATAGTTTTTGTTGGCATTTAAATTCAAGTCCAGAATAAAAAGTTTTTAAAATGTTTGGATTTTTAAAGTTTAATCATGCTTTGCATAATTAAAAATGTTTATAGTTGCTTTGGAGACATCCAAAACAACTATATTATTTATTTATTAGAGTTATTTCAAGACCACTAGACAGTCTCATCATCAGACTATAAAACTAACTACTTTAGTTGCAGGCTTGGTCAGGAAGCGGGTGCGATGGCATTTGATAACTGACTAAGGAAATAATATTTAGTTGCTAAAAACCAGCCAGATTTTTTAGTCGTTTTGAGAACATTTAAGTTTATGTATGTTTCCTTGTTTGTCTGCAAAATAATAATTAAGTTTATTATTTTATCATGAATTTTAGAATATTTAGTTTTACGGACTTACATGGAAACATACATAAACTAAAAAAAGAATATTCGCGAACACAAAAAGCCCGCCAAATCTATGAACAACTAATTCTATTGGTTCAAAAAATACTAGCCAAAATATCTAGAGTATTTAAAAAATTCTAACCAAATGTTCTAGAGTATTCTGTTGAAATATTTTAAAAAATTGTATTATTTGAGTTTCGTTATGTTTTAGTTGAGATTTCTAGCATTAATTGTTTTTAGAATATACTATCAAACAAACTATCATTTTAATACTATGGCTCATTCTCGGAGCCACATCTACAAAGCTATAAATGTTTTAAACTAACATTTGTTTAAAAAAATAAATCTTTTAAATTTATATTTTTTAACTTGTCAACGTTTTGTAAATATATTATAGATTTTATTAGTATGTTCTTATTTTTTATGTATATAATGTATTTTTATAGATGTAATGTATTTTATTTATGTATTTTTTATGTATGTAATTTTATTTGTGTATTTTATTCAAATGTAATCTTTAAAAGCAATTTGTGCGATTGATTTTGTAAACAAAAATACTTTCAATAATAACTGTATTTTCAATGAAATTATTAATAATCATCAAAGTTAATAGAAATAATTTTAACCACTAATCCAGTTTCCTCAGTGAACCCAATAACTGATTCTTTCCCCCAAGAAAAAAAAGTTTTTAAGTTCTTAGAAATTGGTTTACTAACTTCAATTATTTTTTCTTCAGCCATTCTTACGAACTCGTTATACTTAAACTTAAAGTTACTCTTTTCTGTTTTAAACACTAATTATAATTATAAAGCCCACTCACTAAACATCATTAGCGGTATTGTGAAGCAGTTCTGCTTCCTCTTTACTTAATAATTTAACTTTTTTAGTTAATTTCTACCTAATTGAATTTCTTCAGTAACTCGATGATTTAATTATTTCATTTGTTCATCTTACTAAGAAGAATTGTTTCAAATGTGTTAAACTTTTCAAACTGCGAGAAGCATAAAACAGTTATTGAAAAAACTTTTTTATTTATCATAAATAAGTCATCTAGCGTTAGTTTTATTGGTTGAATCTTGTTAGACTTTTCAGGGCCAAGGGCTGCATTATTTTGGTGGCCTTTTTTATGTGCCACAGCATAAAAATGACTAAAAAACTACTAAATGGTCCTCTTGACTATTTCGCGGTCCCTAACGCTGTGAGTCCCAGGGCTATAGCCTTTCTACCCCCCACCTCCTCAATCCAGCACTGGAAATAAGTCATAAATATATAGATAAAAATTATATATATTCTTTGATATTGACATTTGTTTCCTTATTAAACAATCATTAATAGTAAGTTGTTACTTTATATAAAAAATGTCGCTTAATTTTATAAAAAAAAATTATAAAAAAGCGACGTTTCAAAAATATTTGCTCTAATCGTATTTATTTTTTTCGCGTTAAAAGCTATTTTCTTTTTTTAACTGTCTCTCTTACGGTCCAGTTAATCTTATTGAGCTTTTTTGTTTGTTTTTGAAATGTTCTCAAAACGACTAAAAAATCTGGCCAATTTTACGCAACTAAACATTATTTCCGTGGTCAATTATTGAGTGCGATTGCACCCGCTTCCTGACCAAGCCTGTAGTTGTGGTTATAACTCTCTCTTAATTCTATGACTCTGAACTACAAACTTGAGAGATAAGGTCACTGCTCAGAGAAATAAGTTGAGTGCGGTTCTACCAGGGATGTGGTGGGAATTGAACTTGGAGCTTATGTTAGATTAATGTTAGATTTGGTTTTAGCTGATACACCTAGGTATATATCAATCATTAGCCACAGTCCTCCTTTGAGCAAGTTAGATAATGAGCATTAGTTATTGTATTGAAATATTACATAGGATATCAACATTTAACTATATGGCAGGAAATTATTATCCAATGAAAAATTGGTTTCATAGTATCATTTAGTCACATCTTTTTAGTAATTAAATCTTTGGCATATATTGGTTAGGTGAGGTGAATAATTCATAAAAGTTTTAGTATTTGACGTCACGGTAGATTTTTGACAAATAAAACTCTTTTTATTTTTATTCATAATTTTTCTCATTATTTGTTTAGTTTGTTTAGTAATTTTCTAATTTTAACATTTAAGAAGATATTATAAACCTCAAATATTTTATGCTTGTTTGTTGCTATAAATTGTTATTGCGCTATATTTAATAGTTGGTGAAGTATTTATTATTTCAATCAAGATTTTGATAAAAAATTGTTTTATAATAATTACCCATATAAAATTAGTTGCAAAGTTTTTATTTGGTTAGATGATATTTCGTCTGAATTTGCTTTGCATAAAGTTCTTGAAGTCAAACGAAAAAAATTAGTTTGAATAATTATGTCAAAATATATTTAAAACAAAGATGGGGGTTCTAAAGTTTTTTACAACAAATGTAGGTAAAAAATAAATAATTAAATAAAAAGTTTAACATTAACACGACACATAAATTGGGAAATACCAATTATAATGTTTTTTAATGCGCGTTACGACATTTTGACAATTTAAATTACCATCTATCTTGAATTATTGCCATTAAATAATGTGTTAATTATTGCGTTGGTTTATAATAATTTGTCTGTATTTTTGTTAAATATTAGTTATATAAAACGGGTGAAAATATACGTACTTCATGTTTTTAATTTGATGGTTATAAAATATTGAACAGTTAACTTATAATCAAATTTTATAATGCCGTCTTATGTTGCTATTAGATGTACTTTTAATGCAAAATCAGGATCTCACATATCCTTTTACGAATTTTTATATCTGACTACTGTCAACTGTATTGTTTACTGTATTCTTGTACGTTTTTTTCATAACCTAAACAGGTTCTAATTGGTATGGAATTGCCCACATTTTAAAAGTTTTGTTATCAAAAATCAAATGCAAAATAAAATGATTTTTCCTTTTTATCCATATCCAATTCAGCAAATTTAGCAATTTAAATTAAATCAACGTAATCAAAAATTTTTTATAATTAAAAAATTTAACAGTTCATCAAATATCTCTAATTGATACTGTCAGTTAATGAAAGTAATTGTTAATACTTTTTTTTGACCAGAAAATAAAAAATGTCATTGCGTTCTATATAATGTAAAATACTTGTATGAAAATCATAAGATTTGTAAATAAAGCTTTAATATTTGTTTTAATTTAAAAACAAAAGAAATATAAGTAAAATAAGTTAATACCTATAATATAAGCATAATTTATCATTTTTGCTTTTTACAAAATTTTTTTTGCGATGTTTGGAAAAATAATACAAATAAATTTGTTTTGCTGTATGTTAAAAAAATACTACTTTTTTTAATTACACTTTTCATTTGTTAAAATTCTACCGTGACGTCAAATACTAAAACTTTTATGAATTAATGGTGCTTTAAAGGAATCGTCAAAGTCTGTATATTGCGACATATAATTTGAAGACTCCGAGTTATTGAATAAAATGGAGAAGGTGAGCTTCAGCTAAAACAACAACATTAGTTTTTCTCGGTATCCATTCATTATTTATTTTTAATCAAAAAAACTTTTAACATTATCTTAAATATGAACACAACATGTGTTGGGAGTTTGGGATCCTTTTAAGATAATGGGTCAGGCTCAAGATTAGCTGCTAGAGTATGTCCAACAACATTTACAATGTGCTTTTAGACCTTGTCTAAAAGAGGAAGGGCCTCATTAATAAGAACCTGTCAAAATATGAAAATAGTATTACATACAAGGTTGAAAGAGGTTTAAAGTGGTAGAAATGGAATCAGGAGTAAAAAAATGGCAAGCACAATAAAGAGAAGCAAACTTAGCAGATGCTAACTTTGCAATAGATTGTATATATGAATTTAAAATGGCAAGTTAATTTAGCTACTAGTAAAGCAAACACAATATTAATAAAAATAATAATTAATAAAGATGATAAAAATTAATAAAGATAATAAAAATAATGTTTAAATATTAATCGCAGTAATAAAGCTATACAACTCAGGCCTCGGCAGGAATGGTGGGCTATGGCTCATGCCCCTCTAAACTGATTTAGGCGGGCATGATTTAGACGGGAAATAAAGTCTGTCTCAAACATAAATTTTGTGTAAAAAAAAAGGTGACTATTTTGATGTTTTTTTATTTAGTTACTTTTTTAAAACTTCTCTGGTGACATAATTTTAATAAGGATAGCAAACTCTAAGTTATAAAAAAGATGGAGAATGGAACAATTTTTGTTGTGAACATATGGTGTAAAGTTTGTATTCAATATAAAAAAGAATTGCTTCGCGAGTTAAAAAGTCTTGCAAAATCATCAGTATTAGCATTTATAGAGGGCACTACAAACGTTAAAGCTAGCAAAAGCCCGCGCGAGATCATCATGACGGGCGGCCCTCCTAGCACGCCAATTCTATTTAAGACGGGTTTTTTATAGCTGGTGCAGTTTTTACTCCTATCGAGGCCTGCAACTATTGTTGCAGTCGCATGCCTTGTTCCTCCACGCTTGAGTAGTTTTTTTAAACACACTGACTATGGCAGTATGCATCTTTTAACTTTTAAAGTGTTTAAATAATTCACCATAAAATGCTTTAAAAACGCTGTAAAAGTTCATCTTCTGAGAAAATAAAGACCAATGCTGAAAAAAGGAAACAAAGTTGTTTTAATTAAATAAGAAGCTAGAAAAATTTTTTTTTTATAAAATTTCACAACTTTATACTCTTTTTTTTAGGGTAATTTTTATTTTTAGCTACCAAATTGGTTACAAGTTGAGGAAAAAAACATATTTTATAACAATTTAACAAAAATTGAAAGTTTTGATATGCAATTTGTTTAGGATTTTATTTGTTTTCACATCTTTTAAAGTTCATTCTTTGTTCAAACAACATTAGTAGTTCCAAAATTTAATCAAAGTAAAAAAGCATCTAAAAAAATAGAGTGGATATTCAAATATTATTAAAAACTTCAGAAACTTTTACAAATACTTTATAAACAGCTTTATAAAAACATTCTTAACAAAAAGTTTAGCATTATGAAAAAATTTGGGATTACTTATGGTGTTTGAACAAAGAATGAATTATAAAAGTTAAAAGTGCGTTATAAAAGCAATAACACTATTATAGTATTATTACTTTTATGCTTTTAATGCAGTTAGTTACTAGATTGTTATTAATTTTGTAGTTGTAAGTTTATTATTTTATTTTCAATAACTATTTTGCTAACAAATTGAAGTTGATTCACAAATTTAAGTTGATTTGAAAACAAAGAACACAGTTTTGCATAAACTGAAATTTTGAAGACCAGATATTTTTCGGATTTTTCATTTCGCGATCGCTTAATTCAACTCTTGTACTTATATAGTAGGAAAATAAGATAATAAATTATATTATAAAAATAATATATTTTATATATAATTATAATATAAATTATATATAAAATATATTATTTGATTATTAAACTTTGTAATGGTGGAAGAAATTAAATAAAAGAATAGCGTGGTTTCTTTTATAAATGTATTTACTATATTTGATGCCTGTCTGAAATTGTTTCCTTTATACAGGTATTTTTTCTGGATATTTCTGAATTTTTGTATATTTTTTTTACCTTTTAGTTTTTCTAGATATCCAAAACATTTTCCATACATACAAGCTTAAGTATATATTTTTGTAATATATTTGTTTTTTAAGCTTGTTCACTCATCACTCATAGAAAAAATATGAAAAGTTTGAAGAAAAAAAATTAAAAACAACTCAGCTAAAAGCAAAATTAAAAGGAAATTACGGAAAATATATTTCCAATATTTTCTGGATATTTTATCCAAACAATTTTCCAGGTTTTTAAAATATGACCTGGATAATCTATGCTTATTTTGTCCAATTTCCAGCTTTAATACACATAAATATAGATAATGAACATAACAATTTCTCTGTTTGAAAAATGTATTTTAAAACTTAAAAAAAGTTTAGCTCCTAAAAATTTAGTTAAAAAAGTTCATTAAATTAATAATGCACTAGCCCACAAGCTTTTGGAGCATTGTCAATAACAATAGTTCATCAGAAAATAAGCTATTGGATTTAAACACACAATTTAGCGAATCCTATTTAAGTGCAGACTATTTCAATGGGCATAGTAAAAACAACCATATATTTTATATTTGAATATTAGTATGAATACTAATATTCAAATATAGAGTATATGGCATAAATTCTTGCTATCCTGTGCGTTGATTAAAACAGTAAAGTTTAGCAAAAACATTTGAAAAACAAATTTAATATTGTTGGTATTTATAGCGTAAATAATAAAGTGTTTTCCTAATATACTGGCTGACCAAAGTCGTGAATAAATTGTGTATTAAAAATGTCCAAAAAAAAAAAAAATTAAAAAAATAAAATATGTAGACAAAATTATTACTTTTTTGAATTTTCTATCTTGTATAGTATTTGTTTCCTTTCTTTGGGGATTGCTGTTTTATTCTCAGTAGTTTCTTTTAGCTTTATTTGCCACAAATTCTTAAAACGCTTATTAAAAAAAATGTATATGGTCAAGTTGTCTCAAAAAATTACTTTTAACTTGGGCGAACAAGGCATGCAACTGCACACTTCCTGGGTAGGCTTACATTCTTAAATGCATTCAGATACAAATCGTATTAATTTATGAAACAGTTTACTGTTGGATAAAATAGATCGAATAGTATTAGATCATATTCACGTAACTTTGATGTCAGATGTGCTGCAATAAGTAATGTAATTGGGGAACAGCATAAAACTTCAATAAAAGTTGTAATTTTTTTCTGTAGTTTTATATATAAATGTTGTATATGTGTGTGTATATATATGTTTTTTTCTCCCTATTTTCAGATAACAAACTGGATAGGAAGGACAGACTTTCCCTAATAAATGAGGCAGGAGAATTTATCTAAATCTAATCTTTTAAAGTTAATTTTCATAATGTGTTTTCAATATTTGATTTTTAATTTGTTTTCAATATTTGCACTGTTCAATTATTTTTTTTAACAGCTCACACCAAAAAAATATTAAAAATTGGAAGTATTAGTCAAAATGCTTTTTCTTTTTTTAAAAATAATTTAAACCTTTATATTTTGCATCATCTTTTTTTGTTTTTACAAAAATTGGTTTTTATATCCTAAAGTATTATGTTAATTTTTACAAACTGTTAATGCATTCTCGTATTTTTTTTTTATTATCTATTTCATCACTATCATAAAAATAATAAATATGCTAATAATAATTAATCTATATGCTAACAATATGTAAATATAAATATACTAATAAAAAAACAAAATTGAGTTCTTTAACCAAAAAATGATTTAGTGTCATTCAATATATAATATGAGCCAATTTTTTGAAAATTTTCCAAGTGGCCACTAAGATTTTATTTGAAATTTACTCCACTAGGTTTTATAAAAAGAAAAAAATTTTCCAAAAGTTTTTAACTTATTATCTCATTTATTTTAAAGCATTCTATAATTATGGCAATTTGAAAAATATAAGCTTATTTTAGACAATTTTTTGTCTTTTTCAAAAATGCCTTATTTTTAAATTCATATAAATAAAAAATCTTAAATACTTAAAATTCAATTATGATGATAGTAATCTACCTCAACTTTTAAAAAAATAAAAAATTATTTTACAAAAAAAAGTACTTTTGGCCATTTTGGACTTAAAAACTACAAAATAAAACACTCTAAATAAAAAAGTTCAATATTAATAAAGCTAATAAAGGCAGAATACACAAGGAAATATAAAAATTATGTTATTTTAGCTTATTCAATTTTAAACATTAAAGTTAGGTCCAGTTAAGATGAAAATTGACCAAGTGTATAATAAATTTAACATTTAAAACTTTTAGAAATGTAAATGTATGTTCAGTATAAGAAGAAGAAATACAGAAAAATAGTTTTGGGATGTCTTGTAGCTGCTGAGATATCTAAACTTAGATTTTCTATCAAAATAGGGTTATGGAATTCAAAATCAGTCAATTTTTCACATAGCCAATATTTCCAAAACAAATCAACAAGCGTAAATTTTTTATTCTTTTTGAATTGAAGAATTTTAAAATTAGATTTAAAGTTCATTATCTTTAAGTGGCCAAGTATTACTTTATTTTATAATAATGGAATCTTTATTTTAAGTTATTAAATGCGTATGATGCAAATACATTTTATTTGTTTTGATAAATGAAATAACATACACTTTTATATTTAGATAAAATAATAACAAATATCAAAATAGGATTTTGGAATTAAAAATTGTCCATTTTGAATTTGTTATATAGTCACTATCTTTAAAACCAATCAAAATTTTACTGTGAAACTTTATTTATTCTTTCTAAAATGAGGAATTTAAAAATGAATTTTAAAATAAAGATATGTACATAAAGGCTTATATTTTTCCAACATGTGAATAAGTTTGAAACTCATTTAAAGGCAAGAAATAAATCTCAATTACAATATAAGAATGTAAAAAATTCTCAAATTAATAGTCAAAATGTTTTTGTTGAACATTTGAAAATTTAATGATATTTCTTCAAATTGTTGCTCGGAAATTTGATAGCTTCTGGCAATCGAACTATTTTACTTTTACTAAAACAATTGCAATTAAGTTGCAAATTGGTAACCCAACAATTGGTTGGGTGCCTGTTGGGTTTCAGCATTTATGGGTTTCAGTTTTTTTTCTGAATCTTTGTAGTAAATAACGAAAATATGTAGTGTTGCTTGGCTATTTCAATGAACTTCTTGGACTGTGTTTTGTGCTATAAAACTATAGTTTTCTGCCAAGTCAAGCCAAACAATAGTTTAATTTTGTTAAAGGTTTCAGCTTTCAAAGGAATAAAGAATGTGCAAATAAAATGGTGTGATCACAAGTTTTTAATTGTAGAAACAATTGAAAACTTGTGATCACACTTTGTAATCACAAGTTGTGATCACACACGGTGGTTCTAATGTTAACAAACTAATAGTACCTTTTTTAATATCTTTTTTAAACACCTTTTGTATGGCGCTATATTCTCATATTAAAAACCATGCTGATTCAAGATATTATTTATATACTGTTTTAATTTCTCCACATTTAGGCAATTATCACAACTATAAACATACAGCTATGATTTTTGTCACATTTTTTTTGATAAAAGTTCTTTATATTCAATGTTATCAGGTACTGTTTAAGTAATCAACTTTTGTGTGTATAATAGACACCTTCTGAATGAACACCAGATGCGCTATCTACTGTTACACACCATTTTGGGCAAAGTTGACAAAACTTTAAACATTCTATTTTCTCTCCTGTTTTTAGAAATTCTAAATGTTTTTAGATTTGCAAGTAATAATCTCTTTTGGATATGTTGTTTTTAGCCATCGATTTAACTCAAACAAATTCTTTCTTACCTGGACAAATCCAAGAATATTCTTTGCTAATAAAAATTCTTGATTTTTTTTTCAAAGGCTTGTGATCTCATTTCTAATATTTTTTTATACTATCCTATTATACCTTTAGATGCTTTTAGTTTTTGCATTTTTTTAACCATTGATTTCGATACAGATAAGTATTATGTTATTTGTTGGGCTGTCCAACTACATGGTGTTAATGTTAATAGGTTTATCTTTTCATTTCTATTTGATTTGGAAATTTTTTACTTAATGGCTCCATAAAATAAATCTTGGTTTTTCCTTTTTTTTTTTTAATGTTCATTGTTTATTGACCAATTAATAGAAATTTCATCATTGGAAATTCACAAATAATTTGAAATTAGGAGATGATTTTAACCCCTTTATTAACCCCTATATACTGATTTTTAAGGGGAACCACTCAACATCCTGAATGTTTTATTTGCAATTTCAGAACCAGTTAGATTGTATACTGTATTGGTTTCATCATCAATTTTTGATACTAATTTAACCTCTTAGTTTTAAGATTTTTGCTATTGTTATCTAAATGTAAAAATGTGTGTTACTTCATTTATCAAAACAAATGAAATGTGTTTGCATTATATGTGCTTAATAACTTTAAACATAGTCTATAGAAATATACCCTGGTCTGGAAGCTATTGTTTTATTCTTTTGTTTTCCGAGTTTTTGAAAAAAAGTCACGTGATCAATGTAGTTGCAAAACAAAGATTTAAATGGCTAACGCTTTAAGTTACTCTCAACAAAATACAGTAAAAATCTTAGTTGATTTCTTATATAGCGATGATTTCGATGAAGAAATTGAAATAGAAATTGAAGACACAGGTTCAGAGGTAAAAATCATATAACAAAAATAAATTTAAATCTTGTATTTTTACAGTTTTAAACTAATCAAGTGTGTTAAAATTACTTATGTTAATTTACTTTCTTATGTAATGAATATTATGTTACTTTTCTTTAGATTTCTGACCAAATTAATCAACTTTGTCTTCAATGTTCACAGTCAAATAAAACTAAAAGAGGTCTCAAAAGACATGCGATCAAAACATATGACCAATGAAGATGAAATTTCTTGTATCGGCATTGAAGATATTGATTCATTAATTGCACATACCAAAAAAAAATATATTAAATACATCCTATTATCCCAATGACTTAATGGAACCTATTAAAAATTATGATTTATTTGTAACTGATCAGTTTTATGCTGAAACTAAAAAGTATTTTATAGAACTTTGTAAGCCTGGCGATGTAGAAAGATATTTTTCTAAAATATATGCAGACTTAGTTCTTGGTGCAGAATCCTACTTTTCTGGATTGCAAAAGCCTTATTGCACTCTTTTTGCAACCAAATTTGTGGATAAACTAATATCACATTTAATAAAAGTAAAAGAGTTTGGCAATTTTGGTAATTAGTTATAAAAACATTGAAAGTTATAAAATATATATATATAGTTAGTTATAAAATATATATATATATATATATATATATTTAGTTATAAAATATAGTTAGTTATAAAAATATTGAATTATGATCACTAGTTGTAACAACAAGGTTGTTACAACAAGGTATGTACTGTCTTTTATTGCTTTATATTGTAATAAGAACTATTTAAAAACTTTGGCATATAAAATTCGCCAAATGGTAACACACGAGCAGTGAACACCTGAGGGAAGAGATGAAGTACATTAGAATAAAGGAGAATTATTTATTAGACAAAGCATATTTTGACAGTTGTCAAGACAAAAAAAAAGATTAATAGAGAAATATTTAAAAATAAATAAGACAAGCTATACAACCAAAACAGTACTCAACCATAATAACAAAAAAAATTAAAAAAAATAAATACAAATAATATATATATATATATATATATATATATATATATATATATATATATATATATATATATATATATATATTATAATAAAAAGTAAAAAAAATTGTTTTATAAATACCAATATGAACTAAAATATACAAACAATACATAACCAGTCAAAAATTTGTAAAACAAAAAACCATTCAACAAATTAAAAATATGCTAACAACAATGAAAGGACTAATAATGGAAAAAAAACATTAATGCTAATGTGTAAACATAATTAGTGTAGTGATAAGTAATAAACATCTCCTCAGAGTCGCGTCTATTATTACTGGCGTTTCGATGAGGATCAGCATTTATAACTAGTTTATCCCGTCAGACAAACGTCATTGCCACTTATGCTTTACCCCGCGACATTAACTATATTTAAGTGTCTTCTTTCAGTTGGTTTAGTAGTTGAATGCGATTTAACAGGTAAATTTAAGGTAGGCACAACACCAAGTCTTAATGTTTTTCTTCCAGTCTCTAAAAAGAAACAACAGTACAGATAAGTTTTTTTACACAAGTGATTTTAACTCAATAATGTAAATGACTAATTGTCATTGCGACCATTGAGTTAAAAATAATTATATATATATATATATATATATATAT